AAACCCCCCCCCCCCCCCCCCCCCCCGGCGCGCCTCAAAGGTCTAACCGCTAAGTTTAAGTAAGGCATGCAAAACATGAGAGTACGCCCCCTCCTCCTCCCCCCCCCACGCCTCCGAGAGCAAAAAGCAGCAAACCTTTTAACATCTAACATTTTCAAGAGTATAGTATTACTGCAGCTCCACAAACAAACAACAAGCAAGCACCCCAACTTGGTGCTGAGTAATCTATCTTTACCCCAGGTTGCAAGCTGGTAATACGGCACACTGTTGCATATTTCGGTTTCTTCACGGCGGCTAACTTTGCTCGATGGGATAACGACGACCGATCGTAAAACGTTTCGTGGACGAAAGGACGAGACTTCGGGTGGGCGTGTGGCTGCCACGGCTTCCTCCACGGAGCGATCAAAACTCGAACAACGTCAAAGGAAGAAAAAAAAAAATCACGACAGATACCGGGCACACGGATCACACGATCGGCTCCTGGATGGACACATTGCAGAGCGAAAAAACAGGAGAAAACAAAAAAACGACCCTCCCTCCGCGAGGGTGGTTGGGCGGGTGGGGGGTATCCTCGCCTACAATACCCACGGGCGGGCCTGTTTACGTAGGCTACGGACCGTTCCACGGATCGTCCCACGGATCGTTGCCTCCTCCATGCAAACCTACCCCTACATTGTAGCTCTCCCTGTTGGCGGCAGGCACTGCTCCTTCGCAAAGTATGACGGCTTGGAAACCCAGCATCGCGCCTCCTACTCATATTATAGTAGTACTCCTTCCTGTCGACGACGCAATTCTCCCCTGAATAACGAGCATGGTTATTCTCAGAGGAAAACATTCGAATTGAAGTCTTGGGGCCCCCCACCGTCTTGTACGTCACCAAAACCATCCACCCATGTAGTACTTGTACGCCACAACCACGAAATTTGACATGAGAAAAACACCCATCACGAACACGAAAAAAACACAGCTAAAAGACAAACACAATCTTCATAAAAAGAAGATCGCTCAACAAAATACCACCGCGCATGCATCCACGTAAAGAAACGCCGCGTAAAGAAAAAGAAAAATAACACCGCCGGCACCTTACACGAGAATAAAACACCACGCACATGGCGTCGCGCTGCACTAGACTTTGTGTCGCGCTGCGAATTTATTTTTGCAACGACCACGAGAGAGTGGGCTCGCCACGCTTGGACGAGGTGTGCGCCACAGCGTCCAACACATGGGAACACCGCCACCACTACAGCAGAGCAGTCATCCCCGCGTAAGGACACGCCAATAATAAGAAAATTATCCAGGCCTTCAAGGACATCATATTTTCCAGAAGCATGGTGTCCCGGAGAATAAAAAGAAAACATGGGGGGGGGGAGGCTACGACACTTCCCCGCTTCACGAACGCCGTTTTTGAAGAAAACTGTGAGTGTCCTAAAAGCGGGGACGACTACATAGCTGTACTGCTTTGCTGTCCCGCGGCTGAGGAACATCAACCACACAATTCGACCTCCGCATGATCCCGAGCCGACGTTTTATTCGACGTCCCCAGCAGCCGAGGATACTCACGCTTGTGGTTTAGCCGTCGGTTGGCTGCCTTCGAGAGCAGGCCAGAGCGGCACGGTGCAAACAACGGACTCCCCGTCCTCGCTCTTGAAGGAGCACTAGTGTTCCCCCTCGGACCCCAGCACACCACTTCTCTCTTCGGTACACAGAAAACGTGATCGAATGTCATTCTAGAAAAAAGTGGTTGCATTTTCTTTTTTGAAAAGGTGGTCGCTTATTCTTTTTTCGGGACGACCTCGGCGGCAGTGCCGGCGTTCCGGCAAACGGCGGCGGCAGCGGCGTTGCGCTCCTTCACTCACTGCCTCTCAATCAAACCAGCCCTTGACCCTCCCGTCCGTCTCTCCCCCCCGCCCGCTTAGGCGGAGGTAGCCACGGCCAACGAAGAAGAACCACCGCCCTCACCCTCACGGAGGGCGGTGAGCATCTCCGCGTTCTTGCGCTGCCACCGCGCCACCGCCGGGCGGACGCGGGGGCGGCGGCGGGCCTTGCCGTCGACCGCTGACTCGGGGTCCCCCGCGGCCGCCGCCGCTGAGCCATCGACGTTCGCCGACGACGTCGGGGGCGCCGGCGGCGATGCGTCGTCACCTCCCCGTCTCCTTCGTGCTGCGGGACCCCCTCCAGAGGCTCTCCTGGAGCGGGGGGCGTCTCGGCCGGCGGTGGCTCGCTGGAAGGGGCGGGGTATGTACGGATTTGTTGTGGGGGGCCGCAAAAGGGGGGACGCGTAGACCTCGGGGGTGTTCGATCGGCGTTACTGGAGGCTCTGCTCGGCGGAGGAGTGTGTGCGGCGAGGCGGT